GTGAGTATTTTGGGACATCAAAACAGAGTTTCGTATAATAATACTTGCTGTTTATTTCTTATGAAAAAGAAAACTGAATTCATGCACCTGCTCTTTTGTCAGACTTTTAGGCTTTTACTGCTTGGGAACAGGGTGACAGTACTGCACTAGTACGGCAATGTGACTAAAATGATGATGCAATGTGAGCGTTTTGTCACATCATTCTGTTCCTTACTCACCATTCCTTTCCCTGGCAAACACGTCCTGACCCTTAACCTTATTTTATGTACATAAGAACTTCCTGTTGGAGCAAGTTTTTACTTGACAGGAAAGGAGGAACTTTGTACACATCTGTAGTTGCCAAAATTAGAGAACTAACTGAAAGTTATTAAGAAAAGTTTGACTTCATAAAATTATGAAATGTGATTAATAAAATTGTTCATTAAAATTATTTTATCAAAGTCTAAGATTAACCATTAAATGCATAAGGTATTCAAAATGCTTTAAATCCCAACACCTTTCTTTTTGTACACTACGGTAGTCTAGTATCTTATTTATGTTTGTATATGAAAATAAATGATCATTATCATCTTTATTATTATTTTGTATAATCAAGCATGTGGATATTCTATTGCTGGATAGAGAATTACTCACATATACACAGGGTTCTTCGCAGACCATGTTTAGTGCATCTCACCGCTTAGCCATGCCATGAGCTTGTGTTTCTCAGTGTTGATTGGTTAGGTGTCCATCTGCTGATAGAAAGAAAGGGTCGACTGTGTGCATGGTTCATTAGTCTAGCTGAGAATGTCCTTATTTTACATTTTTTAAAAAGACACTGCGTTTTGCTTATTTTTCCTATGTGAATTTCATGAATCTTAAGGAATTGAACTCAGCCATGTAGAAACTTCTATGACACTGTTTTTCTTTCTTCCACTGAACTCTTAAATAGAGCCAGCTCTGCATAGCACACTTCTCAGAGCCATTGTTTCTATTTACATTTCATCCCATCACTGCACCAGCCACACACAGCACAGGATGCAAATGATAAATATTAGTCACCATATTCTCTCTCCACGGTTCACTATAAGTATACCCGCACGTACACTGAGTAGTGTCTTTTCCTTATTTGTTCAATTACACATAACATACAATATTGTTTCCTTTCAAGAGTAAAACATAGGACTAGAAATTTATATAACTTATGAATTGATCACCCTATTAAGTCTGATACCCAATGGATACCATATATTGTTATTACAGTATCACTGCCTGTATTTACTATGCTCTACTTTATATCCTCATGACTATATTTTTAAGTAGCATTTCAACTGCTCTTAGAACTTCTTCTTAGTAGGACTGGTGATATCAAGAAAGGGTAGGAGTTAGGGGGTGAATTTTACTTAGAGTCTTAAGTGAAGAATTCAGGTTCTAGTTCACCAAGGATACCAATTATTTTTGAAAATTTCTCCAATATTTTTCTCTCTGTGTCTCTTCTCTCAGTAATAATATGACACATCGGTTTCAATTAAGTATTTAATACCATCAGTGGTCAAGAACTATCAGTAATAATTATTGTCTTACAAACTATATACCACTCCAAAGGACTTAATTTTTCTATGCTGTAGTCTGTAAGTTTTTATTATCAGCTTTACATTCCATATATACAAAGATAGAATGTCACTACCATTAAGAATAAAATAGTTTACTTGTCCATTGCCAACCCTTATCATTTGTGAATAGATATTTGAAAAGACAAGTAGCAAATTTAAATTAAAATTTATAATTTTGAGCAATATCATGTAGAAAAAATCCAATCATAACACAAATAATAATAATTAACATGCTCCTAGGTTGAAAGAAAAAAATGGCAGGTATCTGGCATATGTACTTGAATGAATATGGCTTATAATTTAGATTGTTTAAATCTAATATGACATATTTTACCATTTTCTTTAATCATTGCAAATTTCAAAAAAAATTATTTTGAGAAAGGAAATATTTAAACCCTTCAGATTTGTTTTATCTTACAGAATATAATTCAATCACTGATGCCAAGTTTTATGTAAGAGATCTATAATAAATAGTTTTAAGAAGTTTAAAAATACATTTTTTAAGATTTTATTTATTTAATTTTAGAGAGAGGGGAAGGGAAGGAGAAAGAGAGGTAGAGGAACATTAATGTGCAGTTGCCTCTTGTGCTTCTCCTACTTGGGACCTGACCTGTAACCCAGGAATGCACCTTGACTGGCAATTGAACAGGGGACCCTTTGGTTCACAGGCAGGCGCTCAGTTCACTGAGCCACACCAGCCAGGGCTAAAAATACATTTTTTTAACCCACAGAGTTCATACTTCTTAGGCATAATACAGAATAAGAAATTCATACTATTTATATGAAAACAGAATATTGAAACTGTTGAAACAAAAGTTCAAAAAACAAACTTAACCTGTGTATCTAGGATTTATTCCAATATGTTGCATTTAGAGATATGACAATCCATTTGTACTTATTTTTCTTTTCTTTTCTTTTCTTTTCTTTTCTTTTTTCTATTCTATTCTATTCTATTCTATTCCATTCCATTCCACTCCTTTCCTTTTCTTCATTTTATTTTATAAAATTCTGAGAATAAAATTGATTCCAATTTTAACTTACTAATGACTCACAACAGTTTGATAAACATTATCTTATTAAAACAAATAAATACATTTGAATTATATTCATATGTAACATATTTAGAATGTTATTGCACAGTGATATAAACCTTTCCACTTATGAAAGAAAAATCTCTAAAGTGTGGCTAAACTGGTAAAAGTTATACAAATCAAGTTCAGCATTTAAATAATTTAATATACTGGCTGATGCATTAGATCTACTACATAATAATAATTCAGCTGTGAGTCAGTTGTTCAAGTTCAATATACTCAGCAGTATAGATAATCCTCTAGACTATTCCTGCATACTAAAAATCCTTTTTTTTAACCTAAATGCTTTATTCTTTATGAATTGTCTTTTTTCTGCCATTTTTCTCACCTACTCTACTGCACTTCAACAAGTAAAGAACACTTTAGAAAGTTTATGCTTTATTCTTTTAAAAGATAATTGAACTAATAAAAGATAACTGAAACTGATCCAAAGGCTTACATAGGCAGATAACTCTCTCACTAGCACGGTGTTCAAACATCACAACATGTAAATGCCACATCTGTTTTTTAAGTAGCTTTGCAGTTGATCCATGTTGAAGTAGTTGGAAGGACATTGATTTTCCTGAAGGTGTTTAGATTCTAAGTTCTCTGACTCTCCATTTTCGTGAATGCCGCCAGTATTCACTTATGTAGTTCAAAGACATAAATATTTGCTTAGAGTGATAAAGTTAGCTTAGTACTGACTTTTCCACCATTAAAGGCTTCATAAAGCACAATTGAAAGTGATGCCTTATATGAATATCATTAGGCTGGTTAGAATATGACAACTTATGTGCATTAATCACATGTACTCATTGAACATTTGTCAAATGTAATGGATCTTATATGGTTTACATATTTTTCTAATATCCATGGTTGGAAACACTTAAAACTGTAGAAGTCTCTTTTGCATTCCTTTGCCTTGTATCTTCTTTGGAAGCTGATTTTCACTATGAGCAATAAGGTAGCTATTTTAAAATATTTTTCAACAAATAATGTCAAGATACATTGCACAGCAACAAATGGCTATGTAAAAATAATAATTGCATTAGCAAATAGAAAAACAAAAGAAAAATAATGTGCCTTTATCTGCATATTTTCTAATTAGAAAAATCAGATGTCATAGTTAAATATTTATGCCTTCTTCATTTGCTATGCTATTACTAACTTTTGTTTCTTTTTAATTTCAAATAGCTTTTAACTGGTGATTAGAACTTTTGACTTATGAGTTATTTTTATTAGAACATGTATGCATAGGTTGTCTTCTGTTAAGCAATTTTAGAGATAGTTGATTGCAATAGATTGGTAATGTTCCATTGTCATTATTTTTACTGACACTTAAAAAAGTAATGTTTCAAAACATAATAATTGCAGAATATTCCTATGACAATATTCTTTTTAAAGAGTTATCATTTCTTTGCTTAAAATTGGACTTCATAGTCAATAATTAAATTTTTATTAGAGACTTTAAAATAACATAGGGTTTATTGTAACAGAAGATAATTATAGTTTGTTAATTCTGAACCAGCATTTTTATTATGGCAGTATGTAATGAATATTGCATTTTCCCACCCAGATAGAATCTTTCAGTCATCCCTTTATTCCTAGTGGTAGTATAAGCAGAAGATACTAAAGCGATGTTTCTACTATGATAATTAAGCCCATAATATTTATGTCAATAATACATATTATACTGATGGAGTGTCTTAGTCTCAATAGAGAAAAATAACCAACTTTCACATGCTGGTAATAAATGAATTATACAGAGATCAAATACTTCAGTTTTAATAAAGTTGTTAACTTGCATGAAGTGTACATCATACATAGGTCACATACCTTAGTACATGTCCACAGATTGAATGCGGACGTGTACTGAGTCTCCAATTTAAATAACCAGTCTCCAGTTAAAAAGCAGAAAGTTTACCATCTCTAAAGCTTCTACCATCTTTCTTTCAGAATTATCTAGCACTACTTCCCAGCACCCTGCCAAGGGTAACCACTATCTCCATTTCTGACACTGGCTACTATTTTCTTCACTTCCTAAGATCTAATCTGACATTCAGTGAAAACTTCTAGATTTTAAAATGTGTTTAGTTTTAGCTGGCAATTAGAACTACTGTTGCTTAGTTTTCCAACAGTTTTCTGACTGTTAGTTTGTTAGAACTTCATACTGATGCATTAAGATTGCATATTCACTCCCTGGTCATGGCACATACAAGAAAAAACAATGAATGCATATATAAGTGGAACAATAAATGCTCTCTCTCAAAATCATTAAATATAAAAAGTATTTACATATGTTCCGACAATTAAATGTGTTTTTTTTGTCATTGAATAGGTCCTAAATGGTACCCTTCCCGAGTTGGCCTGCAGCTAGAATGTGGTAAGAACCAACTTTTGCTTATAAATCTGCTTAATTTGGAATCCCTTTTCTACCATCAATAGCTACTATTTATCATTTATTGAATGCAAAGTACTTCAGTAAATGATATAAATTTATTATTGCGTGTGATTTTTCCAACAATCCAGTGCTTTACTTTTATGGATGAATAATTTTAGTCTCAAAGAGATATGTTTTGCCATTCACTGTCAGTCATATTGGGGGTAAGATTAACTAATATATTTTTGTCTCTAACACTTTTACTAATTTACTCCCTCATCCTTCTGTCCCTTAATAGATTGTGAAAACTAGAAGTTAATTCTTTCTTTTCTCTTTTTGCTATATGAATGCAGAATAAGTGATGTAAGGAGGAATAGAGATAAATGACTTACAAAGAAGATTATTATATTCATTATTAAGCCTCAGGTTTTAAACCATACAGTACATCCAGAAAAATTATAAATAGATACACTTAAAATGAGCCCTGCTAAAAACATCATTATTGACATTGGATCAACTTGATTCTGAAATTTTAATTGTTAAATAAAAGGTGTGGGTGGAGTGTAAATTTTGGAGGGATACTTATTAAAGTCTACAATAGTCACAAGAAGCCATCTATTAAGAAATTTCAGCCTCTAAATTTCTCCATTCAATGGTAAAGAGCATATTTTTCTGGTGTTTTTAAAATATGTTTAAATATATTTTATTGATTATGCTATTACAATTGTACCATTTTCTCTCTTTTATTCCCCTCTGCTCTGTAAACCCCTCCCATCAGCATTCCCCCACCCTTAGTTCATGTCCATGGGATATACATATAGGACCCTGTGGGTCCCTCCATCTCTCCTGGTGGGCTGTGAGTTTCTCCCGCTGCCACTATTCCTACAGATTTTTACAGCCAGAGATTTTGAGGCTTTATATCACTGCACTGGAACCCTGGGTTGCACGGTCTGTCTCACTCCCCAGGTGCTCCTCCTGGTTTATCTGCATGGGATGTGGGACCAGCCCATGCTCCAGGTCCTCCAGCTGTCACCTTGCCGTGTGTCCTCTCTGCCTTGGCTGTCCATCTCTGCCCCTCCTACCGGTCTGGATGAATGTTTTTTCTTTAACTCCTTGATTTTCATATTTCCATATAATTTGATTTTTCTGACAGTTCTGGTTGTCTTTAGTTTTTAAATTTGTTGTTGTCCTTCTTTTGGTCATGTGAGAAGGGAAAGTGTATATACCTACACTTCCATGTTGGCTGGAAGTCTGGTGCTTTTTAAATATTTGGGCTATCATTTTTCAGATAAGATATTGAAGTATAAACCAATGATGATTTCCTTGTATCTAAGATGTTGTAGTTACTCTCATTCTTATCTTAGGCATTCCATTGTGTCTGAGACCTCCGTGTTGAAAACAAAGGAATTCATGGCATTCTTAGAATCACATGTTCTTGATAGTCTCAGATTCTTCCAAGTTCACATGGTCAAGAGGAATTTCCATCTAGCTAGAGTTTAAAAGAGACAAATCATTGTCTTGTTTATATTTGTCTCTGCAGGGCCTAGTATGTGCCAGACACATAAATGCTTTTTGACACATGGATCATGAAATAACATAAAATAGTGGTATTATTCTATGAACTTGACTTATATAAAAAAGACTCAAAAAATACCAGAGGCGTCAATGTCAAATGTAAGTTTAAACTGAAGAACACAATAAGTGACTGGAGAACTTCTGTTAGTTTTACCTTTGTGGTAAATGTGAATAGCTTCCCCTCACATTTGTTTATGTTGTTGAGTCTACAAGTGTGTGATCTGAATAAAATATAGCCAAGTGTCCTTGGATAGGAATGTGATGACATATTAATAAGACAGACAGTGAGAGAGAGAGAATATTAACTAAGTGAGATAAGCTGCTATTGTGCAAAAAAGGGTTTTTTTCGAGTAACTCAATTTTTTAAACCTGACTTTCTACTTACCTATCTATAGACTCTTCTTTTGTGACATGGAGCTATAAAAAAATCTAACTTATTTTTCCTAAGATTGCATTTATAAAACTCTATAATGATGTGTATAAGGTAGATGTTTTAACAATAATAGTTACTACTATAAACATAATTATAATACTTTAAAAAGACTTAACAGCAAAATAATTCAAGGCCTGAATATTTATATCTATTCACTGCCAGAATGTATTTGCCAGAATTATTACACTACAAAAAATGACATCATGTGAATTTAGTCTTTTATAGTTTCCTCACACAAAAGACTTTGCTAAAACAGAAATAGAATCTAAAGCGCTGATTTTTATGGGAAAACAACAAACATTTTTTAAGCTCAATAGTTCTTATGAGCTGGGCTAGATGCAGTTGGCCTTACCTGGCTCATATTACTCATGTAGCTGTAATCAGTTGGTAAATCGTAGGGGACTGACTGTTCTCAGATGGCCAGAACTGCAACCACTACTCTCTGTTCTCTGTGGTCTCATGCTTCAGAAGAATATTATATGCTTGTTCTTACGGTGGAATTAGGGATAGAAACAAATAATTATAAGCACTCAAGAATTCCTGTGGCCCAGGTTTGAAACTGGCAGCCGATCCCTTGCCCCACATTCTGTTCACTACAGCAAGTCTCGAGGCTGATCCATATCGAAGGGGTGAGGAAATAGACACCAATTCATATTAGAAGGAACTGAAAGCCATATTTTAAGTGGTGTGGATATGGGAATTGTGGTGAATTGCAGCTGTGATTTCAATACATCTCTTACAAACAGGCAACTAAAATATGTTCTTTCTTCCAACCTGATTAATTATCAGGACCTAATGATGTCCTGAAAGTAGAGGGTTGAATTTCTGATTCTTAGAATTCTGATTTTCTATAACATAAAGGTGAAGCATAGGTAGAGTTGCACTTTTTATCTGTTACTCCTCCCCCTATCCACACCCATTATACAACAGCCATGACCAATCCTAAGGTTTAGAGATATACCCCTTAGTACCTGGCCTATTCTTGAGAGGAAATGCCTGAGGAAGGTATATTGCTTGAGTTAATTTATGCAGAAAACTCAAGCCTTAAATGACTGAGTTATGACATAGGAAGTAATAGCATGAACTCATATTAGACATGTTCCCCTGTCCCTACATGATTCTCTCCCTTTGGAAAAAGATATAGTCATGGAGCGAAAGACAGGGGTCTCTGATAACTAAGAGTGCTATAATTAATGATATAAGCCCAAGAATGATATAATTAATGCTATGCCTGGTTTCTGGCAGGTTGTTTTATATAAATATTATATCAATGGAACTGCATTTTAAAGCATAATTTTGATGCTCTGTTCCTGGAAGTTCACTTGAAGTTAATGAGGGTGACAGAAGAGTAGTAACTAATCCCCTCCTAAAAGATATCAATCAGTGCATGTTGGAAATATGTTTTTAACACACTTTCAAGTTGTACAAAGCCATCAGAATGTTTGTTCTTATTAACATTTTGTGTTGTTATACATGATTGCCACAGTGACAGCACTAACTCTTTGGGTATGGGTCTTTACCTCAATCCATGTTGCATTAGCTTCCTATTTTCATTCAGTCAATTACCACAGACTTAGCAGCTTAAGATAACATTTACGAGCTTGAATACACAATGTGGCTGCATTCTTTGCTCCATAGTCTTTGCTATATACTTCCCTTACTACTTCAAAATCCTGGAGTGCCGAAAAGCTCTGTCCCTGTTCCCGCTGTCTTCATTTTAACGTGAATACAAAATAAATAATCTCATGAAGCCCGTGAGTTTAAATTTTAATGATTATATGCATAGACACTTCTACCCAACTGCTTACTTCACAGCTCCCACTTAAATGTCTGATATTCATCACGCACTTCACATATCCTAATTGAAATCTAAGTTTTCAAGAGGTCCTGCTCCTTTCTCAGTCTTCTTCATGGCAGTTAATGAGGTTGTAAAGAGCCGAAGTGCTGAGCCCAAAGATCTAAGACCAAATTTTAACTCACTGAATTCTGTCCTCTTCAGTTGAACCTACTGTATGTTCAAAATATACCCGTATGTACCCATTTTTTTACATCTCCTCTACTGGCACCTTAATCCAAACATCAATCATCTCTTGATAAATTATAAATTACCCCTAAATAATCTCCTTGCTTCCTTTCCTCCCATTTTCCACACAGTATCCACAGGGCTTTTCTTTTTCTTTTTTTTTAAGGTAAACCCTGCCTCTCCCCTGGTGCTTAACTATAAGCATTAAAATCATTTTACCCAATCTAATGTATCCTGTTAGTATAATTATTTAGGGAACAGTTGAGACGTATTGGTGTATCTACTGACATCCAAAATTATACTTTTAAAAATATATTGCATTGTATTTGATTATGACATTATTTAATATTACATTTTCTAAGAACATAATAGGATTGTAGCTGTTGGCAGTGTACTTTGTTTAGATAGCATTGGGCAAACACTGTGCATTTGAAAATTTCCTAGATAGATTTTACACAATGGGTATAAACACATTTAACTTTATCTCAAAAATATTATTACACATCACAATTTCTATGTTAATTTCATCTTAGCTTTCATTGGTTTCTAATGAAAATTTCTCATCATAACTCAAAATTATATTAAAATAATTAAAAAATAAAAAAAAAAACAAAAAAAAAAAAAAACAAAAAAAAAAAAAAAAAAAAAAAAAAAAAAAAACAAAAAGAGAGGGAGGGGAAAGGGAGGGGGGGGGGGGGGGGAGGGAAGGGGGAGGGGAGGGAGAAAAAAAGGGGGGGGGGGGGGGGGGGGGTAACTCTTCCTTCTTATTTAAGGTGGGTCTTTTTTGAAGGACTACATAACCATTCAAAGTGTTGCAGCTTCCTCCATGGTCACACTCTATTTTACAGACCTAGGTCAGCAGGTCGGTTGGACCACAGTAAGTATTCATTTGAAATGCAATAATGGTTTGATGTGTAATACTTGCTGATGTGAAATATTTTTGTCAAATAGTGTATAGCAAAACATACTGTCTTGAATGTATTTTAAATTGTCCATTTTTACTGTGATCAGCAGCTGAACTTCCACTCCAGAACTGGAGCAACAAGAGAAGGGCCAGTTGAGAAAAGGAAGTTAAATTTCATTTTATAAGTCAGTCCTTTCGATGTCTGATGGCTCCTTTCTTTTCTCCTGCACCTTGTCAATGACATTTCTTCAGCTTTCAATTTAGGAGCCTGGTGATAATGAAGGTCCTTTTGACACTGGAAAGAAGAAAAATAAAGTTTTAAATAAAAATGTTCTAAGTCAGGTGGAGGGCATGTTGAAACTAAGAGTAAAATACTGACTTTTTTGGGTTGGGAGGAGGATGCTCCTTTGGATCTCCTTGGAGAAGGAGCTTTAAGGTGATGGTGACTGAATTCAAAGTCATTAAAAGAGAGGAAAGGTTCTCAGGAACTGTAAAGGACACATGGACAAAACCAAGGAGGGTAGAATCAGGAAAGGGACCTGCGGATGGCTGGGTGTGGCACAGCGGTGGGTAAATACAGACAACTATACTTGAACAATAATAAAATAACTTTTAAAAAGGTAAAAGAAAAACATAGAGGTCTAAGAAACAGAAAATCTTTGACACCAGTTCACAAGTACCAAACTCTTCATGAGTAATAGCATACATTCAGTTGTAAGAAGAAATAGTACGTGGTATTTAGCTACAGCACCAATAACAATTTTAATCTAATAAATAATTTGACTCTGATATACAAAGAATAATGCAATCATTCTATTTTTAAATAAAACTTATTGATATCATTTAGACTTTTAAAGATTTTTTTCTGAGTGAATTCTATTAGATAATGGTGATGTGATTACCTTTTAAATAATTTCTGTTCTAAATGTCTTTCCATTTTGCCAGCATTGGCGATTAGCATTATCATCTATTCTGCTTTGAGTTTTCCCTTTATAGTCAAGCTATCGATTTTTAATATTCTTACAAGCACAAGATATTTTATGCATTATTATTTCTCAAAAAGAGAATTTCAAGTTTGTATCCATTAATTAAAACAGTGTTGCATTCTCTATATTTCTAAAAAATTCTTCTTTAACATATACAATGTTCACATATAGCTAGATGATAGATTGATAGATAATTAATAGATGATAGATAGATAAGCTTATAAGCTTTTTGGTTAAATAGTTGCTTTAGTTTCGAAAGTTTGCTGAACTTTGCATACTAATTGGTTGCACTAAAAACTGAGTTAAAATATTCCGGATCCTTGTGAAATGTATTATAATATTTACAAAGCAACCTGTTGATGCAGGCATTGTATCAGTAATGGGTTCAGTACATATGATATCTACCGGCCTTTGCTGAAAGAAATATTAGGCAAGCAGATTTTGATCTTCAAAATTTAAACCATTCAGTCTTTGTCTGCATTTGTAAGGGAAAGGCAATTCTGTCTACAGAAATTGTGTGAGAATAAGCAGCATTAACTCTGAGTCCATTGCAAGTTCCTGCTCCATCACTTGGCTAAGCACTGAGGATAAAAAAGTGCTAAGGTGGAATTATATGATAATGTACTAGAAAATTATAGCCTATTTGAGAGAAAAGTCATGTGGGTAACAAAGAGAACTCTGGAAATAGGCTGAATATTTTTAAATTAACCCTATGGTTCAGAAACCCTTTTGCCCAAAATGAGTCAGTCTTATTAAATGCTAAAATATACACATTACATCACAATCACACTTACTTTACAAAAACTAAATTATAAATTAATAAAAGCAGTATTGTACCACATATAACATTCTTGTATTTTTGCAAATTATTATCGTACACTTTCAGAATAAAAGCATTATCATAACATTTTTTAAAAAAGATAATCTCTTTAATTTAGCAAGGTCAAAATTAACATTTGATAGTATTTTCTTCAATAAGAGTGTTTTGTCACAAATATACCAAGAAAATAAAATTTTAAAAAAGATTTTATTTATTTATCTTTAGAGTAGAAGGGAAGGAGAGAGGGAGAGAAATATCAATGTATGGTTGCCTCTCGTGTGTCCCCTGCTGGGAACTGGCCTGCAACCCAGGCATGTGCCCTAAATGAGAATTGAACCACGATTCTTTGGTTTGCAGGCCCATGCTCAATCCACTGAGCTACTCTGCCAGGGTGAGAAAATAGAATTTTTTTAAAAGAGAAAATATAGAACTTACTGAAAGGCTTAGGAGAAGAGGTTAACATAATAATATAATAAAATAATAACTTTCACTATATAAATTCTAATAACTAGATTAGGCTAGACTAAAGCTCTTATAGTTTTCATCATTGTACATTCATTCATGTGTGTACATATAACTCTGGCAATTTATCTGTTGCATAGATTAATGTACCTACTGCCAAAATTAGATATAGAATTTTTCCACTCCCCCTCCACCAAAAACAAAAACAAAAACAAAAACATGCTATCCCTAGGGCGACCTCCAATTTCTATCTCTGTATTTTTGTCTCATTATAAATGCTATGCAAACAGAATCAAACAGTTGTTTTAGGTTGATGTTTATTTTTCTATAAATGTAGTACTTTTTGGATCCAACCTCCTTGTTTTAAGTATCAACACTCAGCTCTTTTTCACTGAATAGCATTGAAGTTGTATAGATGTAGCAGAGTTTGTTTAATCATCTATGCATTGTCAGACACTTGGGTGGTTTATGGTATTTTTGCAATTATAAATAAAGCTATTAACTCTTGGTGTATAGGTATTTGAGTGAACATATTTTTATTTATCTCAGAGACTTGAGTTTTAAGTGTGCCTTTTATGTTCTAGATACAAATCCTCTATCTGATATGTAGTTCATAAATATTTCCCTTGGTTCTTAACTTGTCTTTTCATCATCTCAACAGAATTTCATTCTTGTTGTTGGGTGACGTGCTTTCAGCTTTAATGTAGTTTAATTTATTAATGCTTTAAGAATATTACCTTCCTGGTCATATATAAGATATTGCCTAGCACTAGATCAGAGAGCCTTGCTCCCATGCTTCCTCCTAATAGTTTAATAGTTTTATGTTTTACATTTAATCATAGTTTATTTTTACTGTAAAGTATTACCTATTATTTTATTGCCAAAGTTAATATATTCTTTCAATTTGTCTCTTGTGTTGTATAATTGTTTCTTGTTTCTTTTTCTTATTTTGGATTAACTAGAATACTTTCATTTCTATCAACTTTCCTATTGTGTTGTTAGTTATGTCTTCTTTCTTAGTAACTTTAGTAGTTATCTAACGCATTACAAAGTTCATCTTAGAATACTAAATACTAATATAATTTGCTTAAATTAAGTCCACTAATATGAAGATACTTCATTGATAGTTCAATAACTTTTAATATATCTGAGCTCCTCCTGGCTCATCTGGTGTTGTAGATTTTAATTGCCTATATTATTTAAGCAATATCACATGGCTAATATTTAGATTCATCCTTTTATGGCAATTTACTTCTTCTCTGTAATAGTTTACATCTAGTAAAATCATTCTTCTTCCTAAATAACACTTTATTTAGTGTTTGTTTGTTTGTTTGTTTATTTTGGTAGTTCTGCCAGTAACTAATTCGTTCAATTCTTGTTCATGGTAAAATGTATTTATTTAACTTTTATTCTTGGAAAACATTTTTGCAGAAAAATAATCTCACATTTGGAGTTATTTTTGCTTTTGAAGTTTATTACTTTAATTTTGACTCCTACTGTTTATTTTTTTAATATATTTAATTATTGTTCAAGTACAGTTTTCTGTCTTTTACTCCCAACCCAGCCCATCCCCCAGTGCTCCCCACCTCCCTCCCATTCCTCCCCTGCCTTGGTTTTTGTCCATGTGTCCTTTATACTTGTTCCTGTGAATCCTTCCCCTTTTCCCCTGAAATTCCCTCCTCTTTCCCCTACTGTTTCTTTTGAGTCTACTATATGCCTTTGAAATTAATATGACTGACTTACATTATAATCTTCTTTTGATTGACTATCAACAGTTTGACTGTGGTGAACACTTACGTTTATGTTTCTATTTACACTACTTTGGGTTTATAGTATCCTGAATCTACTTGAGTCTATGGTTGTGTGTGTGTATATCTATGTATACATACATACATATATATATATGTATATATATATATATAATCTGAAAAAAATAGTTAAAATACACTCTTTACCTTTTGATTCTCCATTTGTATCACCTTCAAGGGTTCATATTAAACATCCAAATATCTGTCTCAGAAATATCTGATAAAATTCTCAACCTTACCTTTTACTTCCTTAAACATATGAAAGATAGATTTTTAAGGTCTGTGTCCGATAATTCTGTCAAGTAAATCTTCAATTCATCTATTTTGAATGTCTATTGTTTCTTTTGGTTTTGGCCATGATATCTACTTTCCTTGTATGTCTGCATATTTCATATCTATTGCAGAAAATTTTGTGAAAATCATAGTGATAACATGAGGCTTAGAATAATGGTTTCTTCTTTCAAAGATAATTTATCATCCTATAGACAGACTAATGGCACTACAGGGTCCAGATCATCTTAGTCTAGTCAGTGATTGAAACAATTCAATTTGAGATTTAGTACCTGTAAAGATATTTTTATTTCTGCATAATCTTCACTTCTAGGGTGTAACTCTCTATTATATAAGGCTACCTCTACCTTCTAAAGGTTACAAGAAATATTGTTTATTTCTTGCATTGTCAGGCACCTCAAAAAGATGCTGTGTTCTTTCTTTTCAAAGATTCAATTATTTATTTTTAGAGAGAGGGGAAAGGAAGGAGGAAGAGAGGTAGTGAAACATCAATGTGTGATTGCCTCTTGTGTGCCCCCTACTGGGGATTTGGCTTGCAACCCAGACATTTGCCCTGACTGGGAATCAAACTCGCCACCCTTTGGTGCACAGGTTGGCAGTCAATCCACTGAGCTACATTAGCCAGTGCAGATTTTGTGTTCTTATGAGGTTCTTATTGGGCTTCATATTCCAGGTGAATCACTACTCTAAAGTTCTGCTTAAACAGTTTTAACTTTATAACTTTTCAATGACATAGTAGCCCCTTGAAACCTAACTAAAATATTTGGTTCATCTTTTCTCATTGATCTCTTTACTATGGTTTGTTTAAATAACTTGGAATAAAATTCTCCGTTATATCTTATCTATATAATGGGTAATTTAAACAAAAAAGGAAAACCTTCTTCTTCTACTTTTACAGTAGCTTCAGTAGTACTCATTGAGAACAAAGTGATAAGGAAAATGCTCTCATAATTTTACTTAGTAGCTCTCCTCTCTTTAGAAGATTAGAGTTAGCACTACTTTATTTTCGTAGGTAAATTTCAACTGTGAAATGTGCATTTCATTATGTTCTACACCATCAATTGCAATTTTAGAAAATAAGTAAAGTCAGCATGTTAATAATTAAAGATTTTTTGTTTTTTTTCAAGACAGGATAAAATGTTTTAAGCATAATCTAAACACAAGGGTTCTATTCAATCACAGTTGTAGTTGCATGTTTTATTTTATTTCATTTATTTTTAGAGAGGGGGAAAGGAGGTAAAAACAAAAGGAGAGAAATATCAATTTGAGAGATAAACATTGATCTATCTTCTCTCATATCTACCCTGAGCAGAGAATAAACCTGAAACATGGTAATTTTCCCTGTCAATGAATCGAACCTGCAACCTTTCGGTTTGTGAGATGACACCCAACCAGCTGAGCCATACCATTAGGGCTGCATGTTTTATTTTTTTTAATTTTCTAGAGCAGCTATTGCCTATTTCTTTATTCAATTTAGACATAGATTAACTTGAGTATTCCACAGCACAGAAGTTCCAGAAAATACCAATTACCCATAGAAGTAGTGTTTTTATATTTAAAGGAAGATATTAGTTTACTACAGAGAACTTTTGATACAAAGGAAACATGAAATTGATTTGATATTAGAAATTGACTATAATTTGCAAATAGCATAGATCTTCAAAGTAAAAAGCAAATGTATCTTCTTATATTAAGTATGGAAACTCTATTGAATTTTTGGACTATAATGCAATCCCTAGTCCCTGTAAATTTGTTTGACTTGCTTGGGCTTATAAATGGCATATTTGCTTGTTATTTTGGTTTTGGTTTGGGTTTTCTCTTTCTTTTTTAGTAAAGAACAACTCTTTTTTTAGAAGGCTGACATTAATATTTATATATCTGGACCTATTAAAATTTATTCTGAAGCTATTTTCTCATTACATTTCATGTTTATTGAAACATTTCTCCTTCTTTCTTCTGTTAACACCTAAATAGACTTTTTTTGAAAGATGCATTGTCCAAAAGGTATTTTACAACTTTCAAGTGTTTTCATGAGGTCAAAATGTATTTTATATTATTGAGCACTGTTTTAACAACCATGTTTCAACATGAACCATATTTTTGATAAAATATTGGGCTTCTTAGAACATATAAGCTAGAATTTATAATAAGCTAGCAGCCTCAGTTTTTTTGGAGATAATGGGAATAAGATTATGATTTAATTTTACCTGTTTTAAATAAACTTCACGTGTGTGATGGCATTTTAATGAATTTAAAAATAGTGACATTTGGATCGTGATGCGGATCCTGTCCAGCAGGATCCATGAGTGTTGTGGCTGCTGTGAACAAATACAAACAGAAGTCCTGTGGAGAAAAAGGGACAGCACAGCTGCTGTCTAAGTGAGAGAGAGGGCCCTGGTTCCTGCCTGGACAGGCTTTTATTACTTTTCTGGGTATATTACATGGAGAATGGTCCTCATTTACTACGCAAAGGTTAATTGCAGGTGATTACCTTTTCCAGATAACAAAGGAAAGAATGTTGCTAATCACTTCAAAGAGAAGGATGTTGCAGACCAAGGGGAAAAGTAGTTGAACTGGTCACACTCCATACTTGGGAGGTTTAGCACATATTTTATGAAGTGTGTAGTAAGCATTTTCTGCCTCAATTCAGGGTAAGGGAGTTTTAGCAAAAGCAAGTCTCATAGCAGCCTAGGTACAATGCAGGCCCTATTCCCCACAGGAAAACCTCTTTGCGGGCATGGTCCTGTGTGCAGAACTCACTTACCACTGGTTTTCAATGTGGGAGCTGAGCTACATTTCCATGCCACAAGAAATGGCTCCCTACAGGTTCAGGTTAACTGTTATTCACAACATTTCTCACATCTGATATAGTATCAGAGAATTTACTCAAATTTGACTTGAGTAGAGTAGGTGGAGTTAAAATAAATATTTTAAACTTTTTGTTGTAATACACAATCACTTTCCTCATTATTTTAAAGTATTGACTAGATTCTATTAGTGAATATTTAAAAGTGGTAAAGATTTTTCTTTATATCTGAATAATCAGGCATGTTGTACACAATAAATGAATACTACCTTTCAGTAAAAAAATTACTTTTATACTGAATTTATCAGATGTTGTATTGCTTTGACCCTCAGGGACCTTTTGCTCATGAGTTGATAAATAAGTTAAAAGGCAGAATTATAATAAAAAAACTAACACATATAAATATCTATGTATATGTGTGTGCATATGTACATAAATAAAAATCTTCATATTTGAGAAAAACACATGCAAGTTTTCTTAGAAAATGAGAGTTGGCAAAGACAAGGTAGCAATGGCAGCCATATTTGTCACTGTCATGTATATATCCTTTCTCTTATCCTCAAATTTGCAAATTACTTTTTCTTCTCATCTGGAAATCCCAGAGAATAACTTTAACCTGGATTTGGCATCATAACAAAGCCAACTAATGGACAGCTATCAGATTCAAAATCTATCAGAAACCAGTCAGTTAAAAAATCTGTGCAGTCACCTGGTGCTGTTTCAATGACATTTCCAAATCTTCTGATTGTCTCTCTAAAGGTGAAATATTTTTCTCCGCGTAATGGTACCTTCTCAGCTCCAGGCATGAAAGGACAACTCTTTTAATTACTCACTGAGACTCATTAGAATTAAAGTCTAAAAGTTTCAAAAGAGAGAACTGAATTACTTCAACTTAAATCACAGTCAAATCAATGGATTTTAACATTACAATACCCTGAAAGTACTTAAAGGAAAGACAGAAAATGTAGGCAGACAGGTGGCAAACACAAAGCCCAAGGGCCGAATTAGCCCTCCACCTTGTGTTATCTGACCAGCACCTCCTTTCTACCTGGCAGCAGCGTCCAACTCTCACTTAACTGTTAGAAACTACTTACACTTATACAGTCTTAAAATCGCATTCTGCCCTTTGAAGGAAACCTCGAGGCTGATGTGGCCCTGGTGAAAATGATGTACACCCCTGATGTAGGCCATATCACTCAGCAACAGGGCAGGTTGCATGGAAGATGGGGTATGTCTGTGGCTGGGCAGACATAGAGCAATGCATTTATGAGTTTGGTTATTCAAATTAAAGTTCCCTGTACTATTTATGAAGACTTCATTATATTAAATTTAACTTGTATTTTTATTTTAAATTATTTATAATTGTCCACCTATCTTTTGGTTATTATTTCCAAGGAAGACGTCTTGTTATTTGTTTAAAGAACATGCTCACCTGTCCATTTCTCCAATTCATAGAATAGGCTAAGTCTGTAGACATACCTTCAGTCAAACATAAATCTTAATAACATCTATAGAAATTAATGTTTAAATTACCTTTTATTTTCTGGTATAATAGATAAACCTTATTCATAAATAGATCTTAAGGACATCAAAACAAATTTATAGTTCAATCTAAAGCTTTATTTTCAGGTATAATAAGTAAAACTTAATAACACCCAAAATATATATACTTTAATTTAAATCACCTTCTTATTTTCAGGTATTTTTGGCTGAATACACAGGACCTCTGTTAATATATTTCCTCTTTTATTTGAGGATCCCATACATATATGACATGAAAGAGAGTTCTAGAAGATCACGCCACCCAGTGGTACAGTAAGTAATAGATAAAGTACATTTAAATTAAGGAGTTAAAATAGCATGGAGACATTGTGTTGATAAAATTGTTTGTATAATTAATTAAAGCACATTCAATTTTAGGGAAATAAATTTTAGGTAATAAATAAATCTCTCTCTCTCTCTCTCTGTCTTTCTTCTCCCTCCCTCTCCTCCTCTCTCTTTCTGTCTCTCTCTGTACCAAATTAAAGAGAAGGAGAATAATTGTTCAAGGTTCTACACTGAGATGTAGGAATATAGGATTAGCAATTTAAAAACAAAAGATCCTGATTAAGTGAAAACATTCTGAGTAAGAAGCAGAATTTAGATCTTAAGGATATCAGAAGGCAGAGAATGATTTGTCTGCTGAATTTTTTATCCCAAATCAAACTTTTTCTTGCCGTTAATGTCTGTGCTAAAGCCACACTGACCTCCTCTCTTGCCCTTATGTCCCCCATGCTCCCTTTCAGACAGGCTTTTACACACGCCATCCGTCCTCCTCCATCCTCGCTGCCTCCCTCTCCCTTACCTCCATCCAAACTTCACATATAATCCCAATATTTCTTACTCACAGTAGCACTTGTTATTCCTTCCATGACAAATAGGCTACTAAAATGTATTTCTTTTACACAGTTTCACTGCAAAATAAGATATTCACAACCAATTTTCTTTCTCTCTATAGAGTTAAATTTTATAATGGTTGTGCCTTTATGTTTTGTCTACCTTCACTGCTTAACACATTGCTTGATTTACAAGGACTACGCAATAAAAATGTTTTTAATGGTAAGGCAGATGAACAAATTAAAAACACTTTATTTAACATTGTGCACTTTTAGAGTACAAAAGAGAAAAATGTGACCTTGATGGGAGGTGGCTTTTCTAACAAAGTTGCATTTGAAATTTTTTTCTTTGTTCTCTGGAAGGATGAGTCAGATTTTATGTAGTCAGATAGTGGACTCTTCCTCTGGAAATTATCTATAGGAACATAAAGAAACTGGTACAGCCGAGCCACAGGCGGGGACAGGGAGACTGGCTTTCGGGTATGACAGTTTGGTCAGTATAGAACAGGTTGTTGAAGGCCCTTTGAGACATTCACATGTCTTTCTTTTCCTTAAGTGCAAAAAACGCCTTATTCATTTAGAAAGAGTATGGGGTGAAGAGTTCATGAGGAGAAGACAACTGCATTCAGTTTTTAGACCAAACATATAACATGTACAGATTGACAGCACAGCATGAAAAAGGAATGCTTTTCCTCCTGTGGTATTCTCAAAGGACTTGGCTCACGGGCAGTTACTATTCTTAAACACAAACACAGCATGTCTTCTAACTTCTCATGCTGATAAATTTATTTGGGCAACATGGTTCCAAAATAACAAACATGTTAAGTTCATATAAAATCATTCCAGAACAGATACATACAAACTACTTCTGAAATGTAAAGGTCTAAAAGAGCTCTAGAAAATAATCATAAGTCTTCTAAGACAACCTAATTTCAGGATGGATGTCATTTCTCATGGTTAAGAAGATCACATTTCAAATGTTACATCCATTTACCACATACTCCAATGTTACTTCCACAAAAGTGCTTTGAATCAAATCACAGAGTCAAAAGTATTTTTCAGGTCAGTTCAGCTCTGTATGTGACTCAACCACCACAAAATTCTTGGGCTCTCTTAGAAATCTTTAAACACTAGAGCTAAGGCAGGATCTCCCTCCCCATCTGCAGGGAAAAGTGGTCCATAGCTATTGTTCATCGAATCAATGTTTTGTTTTATTTTTTAAGATAGAGGCTACATACTCAAAATTATCACAGTTTCTCTCACCAAAGGAATTGTGGGAACTAGCTACACTGTGGCTAAGACCATACCACCTTACAGCTTCTAACTGCAACATCATTGATGGAAAAGTAGCCAGAGAAATATTTCCTGCGCACAGCACTCATAGTTTGATTTTCTGCCTTAAGGGCAAAATAATTTTTATATGTGTAGATGCATATCCTTGTGTTGGTCCCCCACTTCATTAACCCCATATTTTTAGGTCATCTCTCATCTCTCACATTCTATCTCAAGAAACTCTACTGCCCTCTATTAGTTGGCTTCCCCAAGTCCTCCCTAACACCTGAATCCTTCCACTATGCCCCTGCAATTCAATATGCATTATTTGCAAAATCTCTTATATCTTCAAACTTTCTCTGAATATTGCCTTTATAGCCTTCCTCAAAAGAAGCCTGATACACTGCCTCTCTTGTAGCTCTATAAAGTTGTGCCAGTGTCTTCTTGCACAGCCCCCATATCTTGAAGTTTACTTAATAAGGAATTATATATATATATTAATTCCTTATTAAGTAAACTTAATATATATATAAGTTTATATATATAAACTTATATATATATATATTCAAATATATATATATATGAATATATATATATTCAAATACGATGTTCTGTAAGGAGAGTTGAACCCAAGCTTCTTTAAGGATGATCTGTTAGTTAAGCATAGGACAAAGAAAGAATTGGTGCTTGAAGGGAAGTCAATGAAAATTAAATAAAATGGCAATATTTGACATGAAATCAAACTTAGTGAGTTACTAATAATGTACAAAGCTGCATATATTTAAATATAAAGGCAGAACAATATGTGCTATTTTACTGTCTATGCTATCCTAGTCTAGTATAAAGTAAATAAGTGAATTAATTTAAATGTATCACAGCTTAAACCAAAATTTCTCATTTAGAGCTCTGCTACATTGCTAGGTATAACTTAATATCTTTTTACTTGCTTACAAAATGAGAAGTTTTATTACTCAAGTATTTATTACATATAAATACTTACACAAAAGAACCAACAAGTTAGGAGAGATACCAATTTCCTCATTAGTCTTTTGAATGCTTGCTTAAGGCAACCTCCTATGTCAGGACTGTTGTTTCTGTCTGTCGTACTGTATACCAGGGGTTCCCAATATTTTGGCATCTCTAGGGCACCCTGGAAGAAGAAGAGTTGTCATGGTCTACACAATAAATACACAAACACTAACAAAAACAATAAAGTCACATGTTTTGAGTAGCTTTACAATTTTGTGTTGGACACATTCATAGCCGTCCTAGGCTGCCTATGGCCCATGGCCGTGGGCTGGGCAGCCCGGAGAAAACTTCGTGCCCAGAAATTCATACTGCTTGTTCTCTCCCATAATTCAGAAATTTTCTATTGTTCATAGATATACACAGCACATATAAAATGTCTCTTCCATCATAGGTGCACAATTATATATTCATAAATTAATGAGTAATAATAAATTTCTAAATGGCTGGGCCTGGTAAGTTTGTGCTTGTTTTTTCCAAAGGTCATTATTATCAAAATCATAAATAATTAATTCATATGTGTGATAATAATACCCCAGTAGAATCTCAGTGTTTCATTTTATATAAAGTGATTGGCATGCTGCTTTTGTTAATAATACTCATTGAGGATATGCTCATCAATCTTAGATAGGAATGGGGGAGAGAGAGACAGAGACAGAGAGAGAGAAGTGTAGATCAGTTTCCTGCAGTATGTGCTCCCATGGGACTGAAACCTGAAACCTAGCTACGTAGCCTGACTGGGGATCAAACCCACAACCTTTTGGTGTGTGGGATGTTGCTCCACCCATGTACCAGGGTGGCATGCTGATTTTTAGGCTCAACTTTTATTAGTTCAAGTGTGCAATCTTTGACCCATATTGTTTTTCTTCATTAGTAGCCAACATTTTGAAATTTTATATTTTATTCATAAAATAGCTACCTATGTTAATAAAAATACTTTTAAGTATGAAAATACAATATATTTCTCTAAATTATAATGGCATTTACTTTTAAAATACTAATTATACAAATGACAAGATGAGGCGATACTCAGAACAACAGCAAGAAAAACCAACACACGAAGCCACAGACAAAATACTGCAATGTGTTAGATTGTCAAAACCAAACATAAAACTAAAGCTAAACAAAACACAACTGGCACTGGTTGTATAGAAAATGAGATTCAAACTTCTAATTTACGGTTCTTGCTAAAGGACAACCCGACAATGAAAAAGTTATTCTGAATATTATAAAATGTCAAATGCATTCTAGTAAGTTTTGGAAATTTTTAAGCTAGTAAATTATCTGCTTCATCCTGATATGAGCACATTGGTAATTATAATATTCATGTATTACTGGAGCAGGTGTGAGCATATAGTCTATGATGGGTGTTATATTTCTAGTGTCATCAGTAGAAAATTTATAGAGTGTTGCAACAGTACTTTTGTTATTAAATACATTTAAAACTTTCTAGAATAAAAGTACTAAAAACTTGTGTTTTAGTTATTGGAAATAAGATTTCCTAGTATAGAATATCATAGTAAACTGAAAAAGAAATGCATAAGGCAAGCCAGATTTTTGGAGGGGATTTAACATTTCTCTTTTATTTTCTTTCCAGCTTGGCCTGCCTCTGTCATTGTATACACTATACCCGATATCTTTTGGAAACTTTATTTGTCCACAAAATTTCTGCAGGGCATACACCTTTGAAAAATTTGATAAAGGTGGGGATTAATATGTAATTTTAATTATTATTGAGGTATTTTGTGTATCAAATTATCTGCAAAATAACTCTCTCATGTTTATTTCCTTCAAGACTTTTTCTATTTAATTTATCAGCATATCTTAAACATTCCATTCTGAAATGCCATATCCTGGAGTTGCCTTAAACTATTAACAATACAGAGAAAACTTTTTTAGTGGAAACAGCACTAAATTCAGATTTTTGAGAAGGAAGAATCTCACATATGAACCCTTCTGTAAACACACATTTGTGTGATAAAAATTATGATAATCCACTTTCATGATGTCTTTGCTCTTCAAATAAATGTTAAATAATATAGTTATTAACCAGTACATAACTATCACAGAAATAGAAAGTTTTCAAAAACATTGAGGTGAAAATATCCATTAGTTATCATGCCACAATTCAAATATTCATTAAAATTTATTTTATTTTTTAATTCAAAATATATTTTAAGTATTAATTATGCCTTTACTAAAAACTTCCTTCTTTTGCAAGTATCTACTTTCTAATAATTTAAACAAGGTAGCCATTTCATTGTTGTCCTTGTAAAGAAACACTAAATTCTAGAATTCTTCAAAACCTCAGAAATCATTTGGAGTAACTTCACTTTTGACAGAACGTATTATAGCCTGGGACTTCTAAAATTAGTCTATTGCCCTTGCCGATAGAGGAACAAACATTACTGCTAATGGTTAAAAAATTAATTCTTATATTTACTTTCTGCTAAGAAATGATTATAAATAACTTACTATTTTATTATGTTATTCATATTTATTATTGTATAGACTAAACCATTCTTTGCAAGCTATGTGGATACATTAAACATGTATATGAATACCTATTTATATTAATAAGGATCAGACAAATAAATGCACTTCTTTTTTTTCATTTCTTAAGTGATATTGAATAAGTACTTTTAAAATGATAAAATGCTAATTTACTTGGTGAATAAACATTCTATTTATCCAACTTAGAAAATTTATGCCATTTTTCATGTAAAATTGTTGCAGTATGGTGCATATATATATATATATATGTAATATATAAGTGCCATATTCATATATATATATATACATATATATATATATATTCCTCTAACTTTTATTTTGTGTTATTTTCAGGGCTGTGCCTTTTACTGGGGATTCACTTCTTGGATTGCCTACTACATTAATCACCCACGGTACACACCACCATGTATGTAGAATTTCTTCTTAACTAACTTAATACAAAGTTGCATGTATATACACTCACGTGAAGCTAGAAGAAATAAATGGAACTGTTAATACAGATGGTGAGCTTGTTAGATATTTTCATCTTTTATTATTTTTGTGTGTCTCAACTTCCTCACCATGAGTGAGATGACAGTCAGGACACTATTAAATTCGAGGAGGGAGAATCACTTATAATCACTTCTATAATTATACATATTTGTGACTAAAATGATTATACTACATCAATTTTTATTCTGTCTTAGTTCTTCAAATAAATGTTAATCTGTTTAAAATGTAACAATAAATCTTTCCTGAATTATGTGTATAATATGACTATTTAACAAATGAGTGTTTGTGCATCTTTTTTTCCTTTCTAGCATTTGGAAACAGGCAAATCACAGTATCTGCTATCAATTTTCTGGTATGTATTATTTATATTACTTGCTAGTCATACTCTAATTATAATATTATTAAAATGCAAAATAGATTATGTTCGAGTACTGGTTATGTAGCTAATATCTATTCTTATTGGCATAGTGGTATTAAATGAAGTAAGTTAAATAATTTCTCATAATCATGTCATTAGGTATTTTAATCAAAATGTTCTACTCATCTATGAAGGATAAATAAAATTATTTTAAATATAGTAAATTTTGAAAAAATATACCCAGTGATTCTTCCTATTGTCTTCAAATTTACAATGTATAAAACTCTAAGAGCAAAAAGTTTTACAAATCTAACATATGAGCATCCAAAAAAACCACTTTGGTAGAACTGCTAACTAATTCTAGATGCAAACATAGTTGGCTTTTTTGAATGAAACAAGGGTCTAACTTAATTGTTCTCAGTTTAATTCTTTAGATCATTTTATTTAACATTGGTTTTTACTTTTTTTCTGATCCTCTGACAATAATAGATAAACACCAATAGAAAGGTTACATTTGCTTTCTCTTCACTGCCCTTTCAGTTTTAAATTTGCTGAGGGAGCTATATAAATAATAAATACAAAGGAATTATGTTTTACACCTAAATAAAGTTGGAATCACTGTTTCTTATATAATTTATTTATAAAATAATTTTAAAAAAAGGAATGATGTATAACTAGTGCATATATTTTTATTTTATTGCATTAGTTATACAATCAGTTATTAAATAATAAGTTTTATTATTTTATTGTAATTGGTTATAATTATAATTGTTTTTTCAGCTAAACTGAGTTACTCCTAAAATATACTCATTATCTCAATAAAAATCAGCAGCTACTATACTCATAGAAATGACTGTTGTTGAATAGATGTCAAAGCAAATGTAAAATTAATTTATGAATATATTATTATCACAAATGTGTCAGTAATAATTGACTATAGTAATAATTTACTATAGAGTTAGTATACATAAAGTATCACTTATTTTTTTAATATTGTATGGTATGATTCTTATACTATATTCTTATACTGTATATGAGCATTCTTATGCTATACAATAATTCACAAAAGCTCTATAGATTAAAAATAAAATTCAGGTATTCCCAGAATTGTGGTAATGAGGTACACAGAAATAAAATAAAGGCAATCTACTTTAAACATTAAATTGATTCCATAAACTTAGAGTTTATAGAGCAAAAATACCATCCTCTAGGACAAAATTTATACAATAAAATATTAGTTTCATGCAACAAATAAATTCATAAAATAACATTTAGTTTTGACTTTATGCAGTAGTATCCATACAATATTTGAACTTTTACCTGAAATCCTATTATTATTCATTTTCAAAAGTAAAATATATTGTTTAAATCAAAGGAAATAAAATGGAGCACAAAGAATCATAATAAATGGTGGTGGAACAACTAGACACGCACGTTTAAAAGAAGAATCTAGACACAGACATTACATCCTTCACAAAAAGTAACAAAATAGATCTCAGATCTAAATGTAGAATGCAGAACTATAAAGCTCTTAGAACAGCAGTCTCCAACCTTTCTGTCATGGTTTTACCAGTGATGGGTCAGGGTTGATGAGGGGAAGGGGCAGGAGGCAGAGCTCAGGCAACCTAACCTGGCCACACAGTCCCTAATAGGACGCTTACCAGGTACCTGTCAGCGGTACAGCAGTTGGGGACCCCTGTCTTAGAAGATAACATAGGAAAATATCTAGATGTAGGTATAACAGTGGCTTTTATATGCAAAACCAAAAACGCAATCCACGAAAGAAATGACTGATTAGCTGCTTCATTAACAAGCAAAAGAGAGACAGACTCATAGATAGAGGCTGACAATTCTGGGGGTGGGGTTGGGGTGGAAGGATCATGAAAACAGGAAAATGACTCATGGACAAAAACAACGGTGTAGTGATTGTGGGGGGAGGGGAAGTGGAGGTGGGTACAAGAGAGATCAATTTTAATTGAAATACAATGAAATATATTTTAACAACTATACAAAATTAATAGCTGCACGGTGGAAGAGAAAATCAAGAGAAAAACAAAACAAGCATAGACAGGACAAATTATTTGCAGAAGACACATTTGACAAAGGACTGTTATACAAAATGTATAAAGAACTCAACAAAAAAATGGCAAACAACTGAATTAAAAGATGAGCCAAGACTTTATCACACAGATACACATAGGACAAAAGAACATATCAAAATACATTCTGCATTTTCTGTCATCAGACTAATACAAACTAAAACAATGAGATACCACCACATATCTATTAGAATGGCAAAATCCAGAGTGTTGAGACCCAAACATAATAATTAATTTGGCAATTAAGTGTTAGTAGTGTTGACAATGTGTGAGACAGAAATTTAGAGAAGCGAGATGAATGTAGAATCATTTTCTGAAGAAGTTTCCATTGATGACATTGGTAACTAAAATTATCACAATAATTTTATTGAACAGTTTGTGACAGTATTTGATTCTATTTAGTCATCATTTAATACCTGTGAGATCAAAATTTATATTAGCATTTAGATGGAGAAATGAAATTTTAAATTTCTAAGTCATTTAAAGTATAAGTAAAAGATGCTGCACTCCAGCACATCCATCCAACCAAAGCCCACGCTCTGAACTGCACTAACACGTAAATAATTTCAACTATAAAATCATTGTCTAAAAATTCAAAATTTAGCTTTGCATTGTAATAAGGAGAAAGTAGGAGTATCTTCTATAGTTATAGGAATAATGTTATATGTGAGTAAATGCATACCAAGATGCTGAAACAAAAAACAACAAAATCAGTTAAATGCTAAAAAACTAACAACATTAAAGGCACTGAATTAAAAAGAATATAGTGAAAACTGAATGACTCTACACAATAAAAATTTTGGAAAACACAACCCATTTTTCAAAACAGGGTATTTATGTGTTGAGTATATACTTTGTATCAACTAGGATAAGATGTACATGACATCCAAAGAAAAGGGTCTTATGTTCCAAGGATGTATGTTTCAGTTTTGGAACTTTAGTCTGGGAGACCTTGCTAAGGCCTGAGGGTCACAATTGCCTACTAACAAGGACGACTAGTGGATGGACATGAGCAAAGGGTCTGAAAACAGACACGCAGCCAGTGGCTTACAAAGGGGTATGTAAGCTGAGCTGAAACCAGCTGAGAATCAAATTACCAACCTTACCAAAGAAAGGTTCTTACTATGTTAATAAATGTAGAATATGCACAACTGTATCAAGTTTATGATTAGCACCATGACTTGTCTCTTCATGACATAAAAATGTACCCCCATAAAACACAAACCAGATAGTCAGCATGGCTGGATTCATCAACCGATTTGAACCTAGTTATCAAACAGGGTAAATAATGTCTTCAGAATTTCTAAATCAATGTGACATTATTTTGGTTTTGTATGTGCCCACGAACAACTTCTTTTGTTGTTAGGATGCAAAATTTTCTCTCTTTATAATTAGAGCAATAACATATCTATTGAATCTTTTGGATTAGTATGTTACATGGATAGTTATATATCTACCAAAAACAGTTTTAACAGGCACAGGTAGGTATATCACACTAAAAAATAAAACGTTTTGCAGATTTGTGAAGCCGGAAATCATTTCATCAATGTAGTATTGGCTCATCCCAGTCACACAGGTAAGTCCTTTTTGTTTTAATTTTGTCTAGGATGAATTATAATAATAATTATTTTTTAAGTCTTAAATAAAAATACAAATAGTATATAGTTTTGCTTATATGTGGCATTTAAAATACAACAAAACAAAACAAAAACAGACTCATAAAAACAGCAACCAAGGGATGGTAACCAGTAGGGAGGGATGGGGTATAAAAGAAAAGAGGAATATATTAAGTAATGTTAAGATAAGTTTACATGATAACAGTTTATTAGAATTAGCAGGATGATCACACTGTAATGTACCAGTCCTCTTCAGAAAGTATCTAGCCATGCAATGTGAAAAATAGAGACATTTATTGAAGAAGATACAAAATGCAAGAAATATTGTGCAATGATTCCTCAATTCCCTTCAAAGTGGGCTATTGTGACCTCACGCAGTTCTCCCAGAGTCTCTTCCACTGTTCAAAAACATTGCAAAATCCTTTATTGGAATCAGTATCAACTGCTCCATTGTATTTTCCTGAATTGCGGCATGAATTTTGCCGTGACATGTTTCACCCCAAGCTTCTGCATCAAAATCTTGGGCACATTAAGTTTTGGAATCCCCAGATCAGCTTCTAGTTTCAACACTGTGCATCACTGATCTTCACTGATTGGCAGCCTATGCACAATCACCATCCATTATCAAGTGTTCCATTTGCTGCAGGCCTTACAGAATTTGAATCACTTCAACAAATTCTCAACTGTCTTTGAAGCATTTGTTCCATATTTTTATTTATGTTGCCCTCATTGCATAGTCTGAATAGTTTCTAAGAAGGAATGTTCAAGCTTAATACAACATATGATGCAGGTTCATTGTTTTACCTGTTCAGTCATTTTGAATGTGACAGCCACACAGTACACATGCTCACTCAACAAAGTTTACCTCCTTCACTGACTAGTACAGTGAAGTCATCATTGTTCACACATGCACATTCCAGTCCACTCTCCTTGGCTGCCAGGTTACATTGATGCCATTGATACTGCACAAACCATTCTTATTATATTAACAGTGGCTGGACTTCTGTACCGACCTTGGAATAAAAATTTTGAATCACTATATTGTACACATGAAATAAATGTAACCAATATTAGGTTGTACAAAAACTATACTTAATTAAGGAAATAATTTTTGAGTGACAAATAGCAATAGTTGGAACCATTTATGATATGCCTCAATACTTTTAATGCCTAAGTTTTCCAAATATTTGAACTAAATATATATTTTAAACAGGTATCAATGACCCATGGACACAGACAATGGTGTGGGGATTGACGGTGGGAATAGGGGATGGGCTGGACAAAAGAGGACAAAGGTAAAATTAGGGCAGCTGTAATAGAACGACAATAATAAAAAGTAGTGGTTTTTCTAAAGAAATGAGTGAGTGCACACACCCTGCCCTCCCCCTACACACACCCTGAACAAAAAACTCACTTTAAAATGTGAAAAAATAAACACATGATTAAAAAGTGAGGTGGTATGAAATCCATTGATGAATATACAGATTACTTAGGATAGTGCCCAATCTTGATCTAATTTGCACAATTGATACGAATAATACTTAGAAGAACATGTGGAATTTGGTAGTTAGTTAAAGATATTTGAAAAATTAGTGTCTATATTATTTAAAGATATTTTGGGTAAATCAATACTCCCATTCAGGTTCAATTGTACATAGGGATTCACAAAATCCTTATTTATAACATACATAAATTAAATGTACATTTCACATAGCAGTGGTAAAACCTGTCCTTGTGATCAAACCAACTAAAAATATGATGATGCATTTGTCTCTACAAGTATGTTTTAATGTTTACCTGAATTTTTTAACATTTCCTTGCTGTAAACATTTCTGGCAGGCTGATAAAGCATATGATATGTCACGCTCTTCAGGAAAAATTTGTATGTAATGAAATACCTGGAATTGCAAATAAATTTTATTATACTAGAATATTTGCAAATACATGAAAATATTATAATATAATAACATGGTTCATATTACAACATTAAATAACACTGTAGTAAGTACTTAATTTTGTTGAATATCAATGATACAAGTTATTTTATATGTGAATATTTGAAGCAACTCTCATATGATTTGAAAATATCTCTACTTTCATTGCAGAAAAAAATTACAGATGAATCAAATTTGTTGTTTGCATTTGTATAAAATGCTATTGTGGTTTGTTTGCATTTGTATAAAAGTAAAGCCTACATTTTATAAGAGATTGAATGTCATATTTATCTGATTCAAATTAATGGATCGACTGAATTATCTTTGGATATGTATGATAAAACCCACTTGAAGAACTAATGGTCTATTTTTTTATGTTGGAGCAAAACACAGTACAATCCTATAAAATTGCTAACATTGACAAATTTATGAATATCACACATTTTAGTCTTGACTGTGACCCTCTAACAATATGACCTTGCTCACATTTCTCCACCTATCTGGAATATGGTGTCATTATGTAAATAGAAAAATTTAAGTCACTATGTTTTAAAAATCAAACGTGACTTAGAAATTATTCATAAAAAATACTTTGTATATGTGTCTTAACCATATCCAGTATCCATTTGCTCTTGGAAAATCAGGTGCTAATCTAATCTTCTCTGCTTTCTTAATTAACTTCTTTTTTCCTGAAGAATTCAGAACACTTTTTCTTTACTACTGAAGTTTATTAATTGTGTAGGGTGTGTATTAGAATTGATAATTCCACCACAGTTTTTCCAGGGACATGTTGTAATTATCTACTAGGTTGTTTTATGGATTTTTAGAAATTTAATTCTAGAAGTTTTTCTTATATCATAGCTTTAAAATTCATTTTGTTACATTTTGGACTGTGGGGGTATGGAGTTAAAAGTATGTTATATTGTGTTTTCCTCATATCATATGTATTTACCACTTTCTATTTTTAGCTTCAGTTTATTTTTATTTTTGGTTAATTTTGATTATTTACTTAATATCCATATTCTATTGAACATTTTATCCTTAGACAAAGTTAAATATGTTCAATATTACTCAGATGGCTTTTTCTACATTTTTTGCACAATCCACTCTTTTTTCCCCTTGCTCTTTTGTCCATACGTATTTTGAGTTGGGGGATTTCTTAATGGTTATATTCTTTGGTATCTGCAAATGCTTCTGGCTCTGTGTATTCGGTTAAAAATTGTATCTATCTTCTCTTTGTGAGGTTATTTTTTAGCAGGAAGAAAAGGAAGTTTCTTGTATTCTATTTTATTCACACAGGAGCTTTAAACGAATACTGATTAAGTTATGTTCATTTTTAAGTCCATAGATCACCCTTGAAATAGCGATTGTTTTTATAAGCGGGATGATTGAAGTGAAGTGTCTAAAGAGTGAGGTGTGCTCTGGAAGGAATGAAGGTTTCATTGAGTCTTTCAATTCTCTACATATTCTTTTGTTTTTAATCCCTTAATTCCTAGAATTGTGTCCTTCCTTCTTTACCCTGCAAGCCTCCAACCATGCCTTCCCCATCTCAGCTGCATCCCTGGACTGCTGTTCCCTCTCCTCAAAGCAGTGCCTTCTAAGCAAAGCATCTGTCCTCACTAGTTCAGATCATTTCATTTAAATTTCCATATCCAGTGTTTTGATGAATCAGGTCTCAGATATTTTCTAAATATAGATCCTCATCTTCTGATGAATTCTAGATACCTACACACTCAATACATTATTTTCCCTTCGTAAAATCCTTATACAAGTATCAGTACCTTGTCAGCTCCACATTAGTCTCTGCCGCTGTTGGGTTGTTATTTCCCCCACTTACATATTAATTGAAGTTTGTATTAACATCTGTCTCAGATTTGCTTTAGGCATAAATTATGGTAGGGGAACCATTTCATATTGCATGTTTAAACAAGGTGTCAAATGTGTTCTTAGGACACACAGATTGATACAGGATAAGATTTAAAAAGCATTTTTAAAAGAAATGCATATGTTTTCTAGTGGTAGATGTGATGCTGTCTCAAACGGGCTTCAGTCGCTTTGTAGAGACATTGTAAGCAAACAAATAACTGGGTTTTCAACTTCCTGTTACTGCGAAAGTCAAACTCGTGGGACAGATGCTTGTGCAAAGCAAGAGAGATTTTTTTCAGGTGCTGTTTGACCTGGGAGAATGGTGAACTCCCATCTCAAAGCCCATCTACTCTGCAGACCAAGATAAAAGCCAGTGTGCAGAGTTACTGCTACAGTTTGAAGTACAAGCCTTCGGAGTGAATCCACAGGCAGCTGCTAAGCCATCATTAGTCCCCATCTGGATGGCTTAGCTTGTTCCTGGCTGCTATTCATTTCAGACTCCCTCCTGCAGCTTGAATGAGGAGCATGCATGACCATGGTCCACGTGGCTGCTAGGGCGGCAAGTTCTCATGGACCTAGTGAAACCCGGAAAAGACACTGGTGTTCAGGCTGCCTGCCACATACCAAACCCAATAACCAGAGACTGGGATTGAATCTTTATGGGTGCTTTATTCAGATGGCTGGTAATTTGAGAAAATGGTGGGTTTGTACCCTCCATTTGGACCATCTTACATTTCCCTCCAAGCCAGCACGTTTCTAACAGAGAACAAAGTGTGGTGAGGGGTTTTGAAAATCAGGGAAAATTAGATTTAAAAAAAAACCGGCAGTACTGTCTCCCTGGGCAGTTAGCTCTTCGTAGGGGCTGGTGGCCATCTGTCTCCTCCTGGAATACAATGGCCCCGATGACTCCACTTGTCCCCAGCGGGTGGTCCCCAGCAGTGCTCCAGGATAACAGCTGTCTTCCCAGGAGCAAGGATGGGCCTTATCTATAGTTTCTGAAACTAAGGCTTTAACACATGCATCATTTGCTAGCCTTATGACTATTTCCCTTAAACTAAAATTTTCCAACTCTTGAGTCCCCTATTACTAGGAAAGAGCCTGAATATACCAGTGAGTTCACCCCCAGGTGACAAGAGAGACAGAAAGACTCCTCGCTAGAA